ATCATTGAACTGAAACTAACAGAGTTTGATTAGCACCTGGATTATCCACACATCAACACCTGAAACTGGTTTCATAGTTTCTAGGGTCGGAAGGGCCCTGAACAGATCATCAAGTCCAACCTGCTGCCCTGGGCAGGAACGAGTGCTGGGATCATAATACCCCAGCCAGATCTATCCAACCTCCTCTTGGTTTTAATCATTCATTATGCCCACCAGGGCAGGATTATCTCTGATCTGTGCAACCCAGCTCATATTACCCCTACCTTAGTATAGCCACTGTAGGCTACAGTTTAATGTAAACACCCCGCCTGCCCCCCTCCCCTGCTGACCCAGTACAAGCCCACTGTCCCATCCCAGCATCCCCCCCACCACACCCAAATCCCTGCTCACTGCCTCTGCCCCGCCACTGTCTACTTGTAGCTGCCCATGCTGTCTGTTTGGCAGTAGCAGGCAGGGTTCAGCTGCCCAACAGCAGCAGCTGGGCAGGCAGATTAACTCTTCCCTGTCTACTCCCTTGGGACAGACAGACAGGTCACTACAAGTAGGTGGGGGGAGGCAGCAAGGGGGAGTCCCAAAGGGCAGGGAGGAAGCCCAGAATGGGAAGGGGTGAATTTTTACTTTTCTGTCCTCCATGCCCCTGCTGTCCTGAAATGTGACTGCTCCAAACTTGAGCTAGCACTAATACTGATCTATATTTATGTGGCTCACAGTGTAACATGTAACAGGGCTCTTTCTTCATCTCAGATGCCTAGTAATAGGCTGAAAGGTTCATCTCAGATAGTCAGTAACCGGCTGAACGGTAAGGTTTGGTAGTATTGCAGGAGGTGTTTATGGGCTGGTTAATGAAACAGACTTTCCTAATTAGTTATGAACTGAACAATGCATAAATTAAAGTGCATGTATTCAGAATTTTTAAATCTGATAAGGGTCTATAAAAAAGAGGTAATTTTGGTGGAACCAGGTACATATTTTTGGAGACAAATCATGTACATGTAAGGCCCCTGACACGTGCTACATTGAAAATGTGATCGGCAGGTTAATTGTACCTTCAGTAGTAACCTGTCCACATGTTCAAGTCAATTTAAGACATGATAAATGAGCCACAAAATATTTCACATATTATGTAGAACAACTTTGTGACTCATTTGCATTGCACCTTAAACTGAACATGTGGCCTGTTGAGGCTGGCCCATAACAGATCCCAATGCTCAGCAGCTGTGTGGGGCATCCCCAGGGTCTGGGACAAAGCTGTTCCCTACCCAGAGGAACTGGAGGCAGAACCAGTCACTGGAACCCAGATCCCTTGCCTGACTGCCCAAGGAAGATGGGGGTGCAGCAAGCCCAATATTGGGGAATGTCTCCCCAGTGTTGTACTTAGTGCACCCCAGACCTTTAAAACTGTGTGTGTGTAGCTGAGCTGCACACATGAATTCCAGACATCCCCAATTGCCTGAGGACCCAGGAAACAAGAAGCCTGTCCCTGATCCCAATGTCCCCATATTCTGGAACCTGTAAAAATCACATGTGCTGCCAAGCTGTGTAGCACATGGTTTTTACTATCCCCATGCATTGGGCCTCTGGGTTTGGGCTGCCTAGGGATATGTGAAGACTATGTGTTCCTCCTTAGCTGGTGCTTTGACAGTGAAGTGATTGCTGGTTGGACATGAGGATCAGACTGGAGCTGGTTCCAGACCCTGGTTTGGTTCCTGGCATCTGCTGACAATTAGTTGATTGTGGACTTCTGGCTTTCAATTCACTCATACAGTGGAGCTTAGCCTCATAGTTCCAGGCTCCCACTGCATTGGAAAGTAAGGTACAATTGGGATCTAATCCCTGATCCCAGAATGGCACATCCTGCCATGAGCATTTAGCATGTCAGGAGGCATGATTATTGGGATTGCAGATCAGATCCCATTATGCCTTTAAAAGGGTTGGGCAAAATATCTGGCTTATCAAGAGATTCTATCCAGGCTTTGGGAGGTCCCTTACTGCCATGCCCAGGTGTGGAGGGCAGCCCAGGCCACGGCACATGCAGCCTGTCATGGTGGCTAGATTTGGCTTCACAGCAGCTCCCACAGTGGCAGATCACTCTGCCTGGCTGCTATTGCCAGCATCTCTGCCACTGCCACTGGACTCGGCCCCAGCCCCACTGCCCAGGCACCCCGACCTATCTACCCTGCACCCACCACCAGGGGTGCCAGATGGAGGAGGTGGATGAGGGGGTCTGCATGCAGACGAGCCCAGGACCACTGCAGGCAGGGTGCGCTCAGCTGGGTGAATGGGATGGGGCCATGGGTGGGCACGGAGTGGCATTCAGGGTGGCTGGGTGGGGCTAGGGCTGATATCTTGGGGTGGTGACAATGTAGGGCCAAGGCCCAGGGCAAAGTCATGATCTGCACATCCCTGCCTGTGGAACCAGTGCCCATTGCAAAGATGTGTGGGGAGTAGATTGCAGATCTGCCCCAGGCACCAACTCTACACTGTAACCACTCCATGATTGTGGCCCCAAATTCTCATCTCACTCCTGGATGCCACTCCCAACCCACCCGCAGCCCCGTCCCATCTTCCTGGCCAAGCGCACCTTGCCCATACGGGGTCCCAGGTTGGGCTCCATGTAGACCCTGCCCATCAGCTCCACCTGGCACCCCCAGCAGTGGGTGCAGGGCAGATGGGCCCAGGGCCAGATAGGATCAATTCCCCCTTCACCACGCCAGGCCAGGTCAGCAATCCCCCCCCAACCCCCCAGCCCGTAATAGCTCACCAAAACTCCTTAAGTGGTCCTCCAGCCCAAATAGTTGCCCATCCCTGCTTTAAGTGATCGTCTGTCAGCAACCTAAGTCTGTTAAACTCTACTCTGTCAACTCTAACAAACAAAACTGCATATCAACTATTGAATATATTACTGCATGAGGCTGCAGGTGTGGCAGCCAGCAAAAAGCATGAATGCCAGTAGTCAATGGGGAAATGCAGGAGAAGAGGGACTGCTCAATAGGGGTGTGCAAAATGGGCCGTATTCACTTTGAATTCAGATTTGGCTCAAACTGGGGACAGTGATTTGATTTTTGATTCGGATCACTGTCCTGATTCAACTTGGGCGAATCCGAATCTGAAATCAGCGATTCAGCCATAGACGCAGCTTTAAATGTTTTTTGTACATACCTTGAGGTACCAGGCATGGCTCGTGAATGCTGCAATGGTGGGGTGGATGGAGCGTTCCACGGGAGCGTGGGGGAAGGCCCATGTGCTTGGCAAACCCAGAAGTGGATTGGAAGTACTTCCGGTTCATTTCTGGGTCTGCCACTGAGCGCACTGGAGGCTCCCCCACACCCCAGGCTCAGCAATCAGCTGCAGGGGGACCCCGGGTTCCCCCCCAGGCCCAGGAGACACCAGTCACTGAGCCAGGGAGGTGTGCGGGGGGGCCTCCTGTGCACTCCCCAGCAGACCCGGAAGTGGACCGGAAGTACTTCTGGTCCACTTCTGGGTCTGCTGCCAAGCGCGCTGGGGACCACCCCCGCGCTCCTGTGGGACGCTCCATCCACCCTACCATCTTATCATTCACAAGCCATCTGGTACGTTGAGGTATGTAGAAAAAACATAAAACTATGTACGAATCATCGAATCTTTCTGAATCTCTCTGAATTGATTTGGAGGGTTCCAATTCAATTCAGAGAGATTAACGTGTCTCTTGATTCAATTCGGATTCAGAGATTTGGCCACTGAATTGGGCCGAATCTCCACTGAATCGTATCAGTGACCAAAGCTTCGCCAGCCCTACTGCTCAATCCTTTTTGTCCTCTAGGTTTTATGAGGGGAAGTCAGAGCACAGGGTTTCTGCTGAAGATTTTCAGTTTTTACACTGAATTACTCTGTCACCTTGGACACTTCACTGGACCTTGGGATTCCCCTCTACAAAAAAGTGCTCAATTATATTTTGCTCTTGGATGTGCAGGGAAGATGAACTGTTTGTTATCTTACACAATGTTATGAAGATGGAAAGTGCCGCCTCCTAAAAGTAGGTATTTTATTAGGACTTCCTCTCTTATTCAGGCCCTGTGTAAGCTCTGTTTGCATACAGTGTGTGTTTTCTGCATTTCAATTTCATTTTCTCATTTCTTTTGTAGTTAGATCTCAAATTGTGTAATAACATGAAAACAAACATAAGCACTGTAGCACAACATTACAAAATGTGTTGTGACAGAAGCACAGCAGGGGTCAGCTGCGCGTTGACTCATTCAGACAGGATATATGCAGATAAACCATGAATACATTCAATCTCCAGAGAGTTGAAAAGCTTCACTTTTTCTTTGCGACACCTGCTCATCCAAGCCAACCCTACAGTGAGCAAAAGTTACATTGCTTGACGACAACAGAGGACCAAAAAATAGGCATGTGATTGCTACAATTAATCTCAACAGGATAGGTGTCAGTATGGTAAAAATAAATCACCTGAGTAGGTGATTTATTGTTGTTAACAATGTAAATCCAGAATCATTGATGTAGGGCTTCTTCATATGGTTGATACAGATTTGCATGTGTATGTTTGGACACTAAAGAAAGGGCCTCTCTCTCTAAGGCTCTCATTATTGCAGTTTTCACAAGTACTAAATGGTTGTCTTATCTCTTTCATGGGCAGACAATAAAAAGGAAAATTTACAGCAAAATGTATAGCACGTTAGCCGGTCAGGCAAAATGTTTATTATACTACGATGTCTCCATAACTTGGGGAAAAAAACATGTATGTGAATTTTTCAGGTTAATTTTACAACACTATGTCTATTTTAATTAACTTTATTCTTACATCTATGCTTATCTATTTTTATTAATTTTTTGCTCTATGCATTTTCTGACAACATTTAGTAGTAAGCAGTCATATATGTTTAATTTTTTTTCAGTAATTGTACATGGTATCTTTCTTTTCTTTTTGCTAATAAGCAAGCATTTACAATAATCAAAGTTATGTTTTTCCACTTAAAAATGTGTTCCCTTTTTTCTTTTACCAGTGTTATCATTACAACAGTCCTGTACCTTTCTGATGCCCTTCGTAAAAACTTCTTAAATGAAAACTTTGATTACAAGGTACAGTGAGTTAACTTCCTCCAAAATATATGCTGGGCCATGTTACCAGTGCAATAATCGGTCAATCTACAGCTATTGTGATACAGGTTTGGATAAAACACAGCTAAAAATTCTCAGCTGTTAGAAGGCCTACAGTACCATAGAGAGAAAATCAGGAGTCATGTTTCAAAATATCATGAGTACCAACCCACACCTCCCCTGCCATCCCCACCCCCAGTCCCTCCCTTGCCCTCCCCGCTCCCCTTTGAGTCTCTGACATGTACTTGTAGTATATGTTTAAATCAGGGTTTTTGATTAGCAACACTATTTTTTGCATGTTTTAAGATTGTCAGAAAGTAGAATCCATTCTTGTGTTTATTAACTGGCATGTTAATTGAAAAATATGGCTTTGGATATTTTCTAAATGTTCAGGTCCAGTTAACCTGCCACTTGCTCTTAAAATGTTATTTTGGGTTGATTATTGTTAAAAATAGCCTGCAATTAAGTACCTAATGAATTTGGGTATCTGTAACATCTGATGGTCAGAGTGTTATACTAAAATTATAGAATGATGCTTTGAGAGTTAAATACAAAACGTTCAATTAAAGCTCATAAGAGGCTTACCTGAATTAGAAAGGAAATTGGGCATGCTATGCAAAGGGTGTGAACACACAGGGCCTGATAACGCACAGAGCCTGATTAACAGGAGTACAGAGTTATGAGTGCCTTCAGCTCAAAGCATTGGAGAAAATGCTGGTCTATATTACCATAAATACTTGGAAACATTTATTACCCCTGTGAGGTTCTGCAAGTGCATAGACTAAAAGTGATGGCAAAATTACCTGCTCCCTCCAGAGGATTCTGTGCTTAATCAACTCACTTATCAAAATTCTTACCATCTCCTGCGGAAGTACAGGCAGACAGAAGGGCATGTTGGCACCTTTCTGTAGAAATATAGTGGACAGAAAAGGACTTCCTGTACACTTTTTATTTTTGCATTACTGTTCCGGAGAAGCCTTGCTTTAGCTTAGAGTTGGTAGTTTTTAAATAGCTGCAGGGGGACCCCGGGTTCCCCCCCAGGCCCAGGAGACACCAGTCACTGAGCCAGGGAGGTGTGCGGGGGGGCCTCCTGTGCACTCCCCAGCAGACCCGGAAGTGGACCGGAAGTACTTCTGGTCCACTTCTGGGTCTGCTGCCAAGCGCGCTGGGGACCACCCCCGCGCTCCTGTGGGACGCTCCATCCACCCTACCATCTTATCATTCACAAGCCATCTGGTACGTTGAGGTATGTAGAAAAAACATAAAACTATGTACGAATCATCGAATCTTTCTGAATCTCTCTGAATTGATTTGGAGGGTTCCAATTCAATTCAGAGAGATTAACGTGTCTCTTGATTCAATTCGGATTCAGAGATTTGGCCACTGAATTGGGCCGAATCTCCACTGAATCGTATCAGTGACCAAAGCTTCGCCAGCCCTACTGCTCAATCCTTTTTGTCCTCTAGGTTTTATGAGGGGAAGTCAGAGCACAGGGTTTCTGCTGAAGATTTTCAGTTTTTACACTGAATTACTCTGTCACCTTGGACACTTCACTGGACCTTGGGATTCCCCTCTACAAAAAAGTGCTCAATTATATTTTGCTCTTGGATGTGCAGGGAAGATGAACTGTTTGTTATCTTACACAATGTTATGAAGATGGAAAGTGCCGCCTCCTAAAAGTAGGTATTTTATTAGGACTTCCTCTCTTATTCAGGCCCTGTGTAAGCTCTGTTTGCATACAGTGTGTGTTTTCTGCATTTCAATTTCATTTTCTCATTTCTTTTGTAGTTAGATCTCAAATTGTGTAATAACATGAAAACAAACATAAGCACTGTAGCACAACATTACAAAATGTGTTGTGACAGAAGCACAGCAGGGGTCAGCTGCGCGTTGACTCATTCAGACAGGATATATGCAGATAAACCATGAATACATTCAATCTCCAGAGAGTTGAAAAGCTTCACTTTTTCTTTGCGACACCTGCTCATCCAAGCCAACCCTACAGTGAGCAAAAGTTACATTGCTTGACGACAACAGAGGACCAAAAAATAGGCATGTGATTGCTACAATTAATCTCAACAGGATAGGTGTCAGTATGGTAAAAATAAATCACCTGAGTAGGTGATTTATTGTTGTTAACAATGTAAATCCAGAATCATTGATGTAGGGCTTCTTCATATGGTTGATACAGATTTGCATGTGTATGTTTGGACACTAAAGAAAGGGCCTCTCTCTCTAAGGCTCTCATTATTGCAGTTTTCACAAGTACTAAATGGTTGTCTTATCTCTTTCATGGGCAGACAATAAAAAGGAAAATTTACAGCAAAATGTATAGCACGTTAGCCGGTCAGGCAAAATGTTTATTATACTACGATGTCTCCATAACTTGGGGAAAAAAACATGTATGTGAATTTTTCAGGTTAATTTTACAACACTATGTCTATTTTAATTAACTTTATTCTTACATCTATGCTTATCTATTTTTATTAATTTTTTGCTCTATGCATTTTCTGACAACATTTAGTAGTAAGCAGTCATATATGTTTAATTTTTTTTCAGTAATTGTACATGGTATCTTTCTTTTCTTTTTGCTAATAAGCAAGCATTTACAATAATCAAAGTTATGTTTTTCCACTTAAAAATGTGTTCCCTTTTTTCTTTTACCAGTGTTATCATTACAACAGTCCTGTACCTTTCTGATGCCCTTCGTAAAAACTTCTTAAATGAAAACTTTGATTACAAGGTACAGTGAGTTAACTTCCTCCAAAATATATGCTGGGCCATGTTACCAGTGCAATAATCGGTCAATCTACAGCTATTGTGATACAGGTTTGGATAAAACACAGCTAAAAATTCTCAGCTGTTAGAAGGCCTACAGTACCATAGAGAGAAAATCAGGAGTCATGTTTCAAAATATCATGAGTACCAACCCACACCTCCCCTGCCATCCCCACCCCCAGTCCCTCCCTTGCCCTCCCCGCTCCCCTTTGAGTCTCTGACATGTACTTGTAGTATATGTTTAAATCAGGGTTTTTGATTAGCAACACTATTTTTTGCATGTTTTAAGATTGTCAGAAAGTAGAATCCATTCTTGTGTTTATTAACTGGCATGTTAATTGAAAAATATGGCTTTGGATATTTTCTAAATGTTCAGGTCCAGTTAACCTGCCACTTGCTCTTAAAATGTTATTTTGGGTTGATTATTGTTAAAAATAGCCTGCAATTAAGTACCTAATGAATTTGGGTATCTGTAACATCTGATGGTCAGAGTGTTATACTAAAATTATAGAATGATGCTTTGAGAGTTAAATACAAAACGTTCAATTAAAGCTCATAAGAGGCTTACCTGAATTAGAAAGGAAATTGGGCATGCTATGCAAAGGGTGTGAACACACAGGGCCTGATAACGCACAGAGCCTGATTAACAGGAGTACAGAGTTATGAGTGCCTTCAGCTCAAAGCATTGGAGAAAATGCTGGTCTATATTACCATAAATACTTGGAAACATTTATTACCCCTGTGAGGTTCTGCAAGTGCATAGACTAAAAGTGATGGCAAAATTACCTGCTCCCTCCAGAGGATTCTGTGCTTAATCAACTCACTTATCAAAATTCTTACCATCTCCTGCGGAAGTACAGGCAGACAGAAGGGCATGTTGGCACCTTTCTGTAGAAATATAGTGGACAGAAAAGGACTTCCTGTACACTTTTTATTTTTGCATTACTGTTCCGGAGAAGCCTTGCTTTAGCTTAGAGTTGGTAGTTTTTAAATACATAGTTTTACTGATGAACCTTTGCTCAATTATTTCCAAAAGCTAATTTTCACAGAATGAAGGGGAGACGCAAATTTATGCAACAATAAGATAAACAGTGCCATGTTTTACTTCATTCTAGTCTTACTGAGACATTGCAATGCTCAATATTCATGAGATATAAATGGGTGGTAGAGCTTGCCAGAGAATTACATTTCTGTTTTACTGCATTTTTTCAGGTTTGTTTCCATTCTGCATTCAGTTGAAAACAAAACTTTCTGAAAGTTGTTGTGAAACTAATTGTGTCGGAATACATTTTCAGATCAAAAAGGTTGGGGTTTGGATATGGATTTCTGTTGCTGAGTAACCAGAGAGTCCACCATGGAACTCCAAATCCTTCCTCTCAAAGGCTTAACTGAAACTGACAAGTCTTTGTGAAATATTTTGTCATAAATTACACAACATATATTTAAGGGAAAAAGACCATTTTGACAAAGTGGTCTGAACAACTCACCAGACAAGGACCAAAGAAGAGATGCCAACAATATGGTAATGTTGAGAGAATTTAAATAACGATATATCATGCATTTATTGTAGATCTGGGATTCCTACTTTTATCTTGCGGTCATTTTTATAAATCAGTTATGTCTGCAATTGGAAATGTTCACACCTTCCAAGAAGAAAAAGGTATTGGAAAAGTAAGTATCATTGTCAATTCCCATTAAGCATGCCTATAACATACATAGGAGTGGACAAGCAGGACATCCACTCCAGGGGGCTTATTTAGTGGGGCATGAGAGTGATGCACACCTCTGAGTCCATGCCATGGCAGCAACAGCTGGGGTGAGGGGAGCACCAGGAGTCAGGTAAGACTCCCTCCCCCCAATACCTGTCTCTGGCACTCAATACTTTCCCTCCCATGCTCCCCAACTCTCCCTAAAAACTTTTACTTTGGCAGTAATTCAAAAGAACAGCTGTGGTGGGGAGGGGCAGAGGGAAGGCGAGAAAGGAGGGAGCATTGTGAAGCACGTGGACCTGATACAAATCCCACTGAAGTGAACAGAAGTATTTGTTGACTTTAATGGGACTTGGATCAGGCCTTATCTGGTTCAGACAATTTTGTTCTGTAGGACTAAATTTAACTGTTTTTGTTATCTGAGCAGGAAATCTTAGTGGGGAAAAAAATCTTACGTAAATGAAGGCAGTAGGTGGTTATCACCACTTAGTTATTCCCATTGATTATAAGGTTTATAACCATATGTGGCTTTATTAAATAAGATATTTAATTAGATATGTATTAGACATTAGCTACTGTTTTCCTCTTTCCATGCAGCTTACCCAAAACTTGTGAAAAAATCTTAGCATTTCTGGAATCTTAGTTTTGATACTGTGAAGTGTGGGTTATAGTAAGCTTATAAAATATTTTTCTAAATAATGCTCTACTTCAATGGTTCTTTTTTTTAATATATCACAGATATGGTGACATGCGGGTAACAATGGGCTGCGAAATCTTCAGCATGTGGCAAAATTTAGGTAAGGAATTAAGAAAAAAAACCCTTTTGGTTAAGATTGAACAGTCAAACAAGGAAACACAAATAAAATTTGCAATAAAGTTTGGTTATGGATAAACATATATATTAAGGATTAAGAATCTAATACCTAATAATGTTTAGGATAACTCTAGTTAGCAGAGTATTCTCTTGCATTCTGAAGCTGTCATCACTGAATGGTAAGGCATTGTCATATTGTGTCAGACCAATCCAAATTTCTTCTAGAGGGAAGATAGAACAGACACTATTGGACAGTTCTGAAATACCCCTAGAGGTTCATCCTAACATCAGTAATAGAGTAGTTATCTTATGCCCAAAGCATGAGGATTTTAAGTTGTTCAAAACTATATTATCCTACCTAACGTAACTGTGAATTTTCTCATTATCCATATAAATGTCTAATCCTTTTTAAAAATATGTTAAGCTCTTGGCTCTAATTACATTTTTGGCAGAGATTCTGCCAGTTAGTTAGTCTTTGTTCAAAATAAAAGAGAAGTATTTTCTTAGAGTTCTCCTAATTTTGTTGCCCATCAGTAAAATGTAGCTTGTGAGGTAGGAGTGTGTTTTGTTTTTAAGAAGAAAAAGTGTTGCTTATAAAAAAAAAAAAAAAAAAAAAAAGGCAGAGGGTATGTCTACAGAGCCACTTTTCTATACATGGGAGTGTCTTATTGAGGAACATTGTCCTAAAAAAGTGCTGTTGTCACAAAACAAGTTATTTTGTCATGTAAGTGTGGCTTTGGGTGCATGCTAGTAAGCTCTCTGGAGAGAGAGAGGGAGTTTATTGGTGCATGCCCAACAACATGCTAGGGCAGCTATGTTACTTGTTTCAGGAGGGGAAACAGAGTGGAAGCAGCCAGAATGACACTGAAGTTGCATAGCCATTTCCTAAATGTCCTGAATTTGAACTTTGTGCTAATAAACACCCAAAACTCCAATGCATATATAAATTGGTCATGTCTTTTGAGTCAGTAGGTGGACTTTGAAGTGCTGGATAATTCCTATTTTGTCAGGCTAACAGAGCTGGATCATCTTATCTCTTCCAATCCCAGCAACAGCATGTGGTTGAGAACAAGATAGGTTTTCCCATCCCTTATCATTTGCAAGGCTGATTTAGCAAACATATGATTAAAGCAATGGATAGGAGAACAAAACTTATATTACCTTACTGGTTCTTCCTCTAGCTCATCTTGGAAAAACGTTGTTCCTTGTTTTATCTTTTTGTGATGCAATTATAATGATTTTCTGCATTATTATTAAGAAACCACATTAATTGTTTGCAAAATGTTTTGTGGTTCTTGGATAAAATTTATTAAAATGTATTTGTTTTCACTGACCTGGAGTACTGAAAGAATTAGCTAAGGCAATTTCAGAGCCATTGGCTATTATCTTCGATAGCTCATGAAGGTTGGGTAAGGTCCTGGGTGATTAGAAAAGGGCAAATATCGTGCCTATATTTTAAAAAAGAAAAAGATTCCAGGTAGTTACAGAATAGACAGTCTAACCTTGATCCCTGGAAGGATCATGGAATAGGTCCTTAAGGAATCTACTGAGAGGCACCAGGAGAAGAATAAGGTGATCAGGAACAGTCAGCATGGATTCACTGAGAGGAAGTCATGCCTGACTAATTTGAATTCCTTTTTTGCTAAGGTGTCAAGCTCTATGGATGGGGAGGGAAGAGCAGTGGATTTGATATACTTTGACTTAAGCAAGACTTTTGCCAGCATCTTCCATAACATTCTCAATAATAAGCTAAGGAAATACAGACTAGATGAAAGTACTGTACAGTGGATATATAACAAGTTGGAGCATGGTGTTCAACAACCTGTCCTCAGTGGCTCAATATCTAGTTGGGAAGAGGTGTCTAGTTGGGCTCCCAAGGACTCTGTCCTGGGTCTGGCATTGATTAATATATGTATTAATGATTTGGATGATGAGATTGAGTGCACACTTAGCAAATTTGTGGATAACCAAGTTACATAGAATTACAGACGCTGGAAGGTAGGACTAGGATCCAGAATAACTTGGATAAACTGGAGAAATGATCTGAAATCAATCAGATGAAATTTCAAAAGGACAAGTGTCTTAGAATAGAATAATTGCATGTACAGATACAAAGTGGGGTGAATGATGGGTTAGGCTGTGGTACTCCAGAAAAGGATCTATGAGTTACAGTGGACCACAAGCTAAATATGAACCAACAGTGTGCTCTTGTTGCAAAAAAAAAAAGGGAAAGAAAAGCCAACAGCAGCTTGGGTTGTACAAAAAGGAGTGTCACAGGCATGTCAAGGGAAGTAATGCTTTTTCTCTGTCCAGTTTTGAGCCCCACACTCCAAGAACAATGTGGACAGCAAGAGAGACAAAAATTGTTAGAGGTCTGGGAAATATAATTTACAGGGAGAGGCTGAAAGAACTAAGATTATTTAGTTGGTAGAAAAGAAGACTGAGGGTAGATTTGATAGTAGTCTTCAAGTACCTGAAGGGTGGTTATATGGAGGATGGAGACTATTCTCCGTGACTATAAGGGATAGAACTAGGAGCAACAATATCAAATTGTTGCAAGGAAATTTAAATTGGGGACTAGTAAGAATTCCTTCATTATGAGGATAGTTAAACACTGAGACAGGCTACCTAGAGAGGTTATAGAATCTGTGTCCCAGTAAATTTTCAATAGTAGGATACAGACATTAGACTTGAATGATTTAATCAGAGATGATTCTGTTTTGAGCATGGGGGAGGACTAGACGACTCCAACAGGTCCCTTCCACCCCTTCTTTCCTATGACTCTATGATCGGTTTCGACCTGGAAGGGTGTGGGCAGTGGGGTCCTGCAGGGCTCGGTCCTTGGACCGATACTCTTTAATGTCTTTAATGCATTCATCAGTGACTTGGACGAGGGAGTGAAGTGTACTCTGTCCAAGTTTGTGGATGACACAAAGCTATGAGGAGAAGTGGACACGCCGGAGGGCAGGGAACAGCTGCAAGCAGACCTGGACAGGTTGGACAAGTGGGCAGAAAAAAACAGAATGCAGTTCAACAAGGAGAAATGCAAAGTGCTGCACCTAGGGAGGAAAAATGTCCACACACCTACTGCCTAGGAATTGACCTGCTGGGCGGCACGGAAGTGGAAAGGGATCTTGGAGTCCTAGTGGACTCCAAGATGAACATGAGTCGGCAGTGTGACGAAGCCATCAGAAAAGCCAATGGCACTTTATCGTGCATCAGCAGATGCATGACGAACAGATCCAAAGAGGTGATACTTCCCCTCTATCAGGCGCTGGTCAGACTGCAGTTGGAGTAATGCGTGCAGTTCTGGGCACCACACTTCAAGAGGGATGCGGATAACCTGGAGAGGGTCCAGAGAAGGGCCATTCATATGGTTAAGGGCTTGCAGACCAAGCCCTATGAGGAGAGACTGGGGCACCTGGACCTCTTCAGCCTCCGCAAGAGAAGGTTGAGAGGCGACCTTGTGGCTGCCCGTAAGTTCATCACGGGGGCACAG